CCCCCCCCCCCCCCCCCCCCCCTCCGTGTCATTTATACGGAAAGTCACCAGGTTCAGCTGACAAGGGATGATACTGATAAAAAGTGTGCGTTTAACCACATCATGTTACAATGACGAGTCGCATGATTTTGATAAGAACCAACCAGGAACGTGTGCAGCTGATACAGAGGATGATATATAAATCCCTTAGTTTAGCTGATTGGTTTCAATTTGGACTGGACTGTGACGAAGTGTAGACGTTCCCAAGGTACAGTTTACTTTTACCTTAGAAACACCTCTTGTAATACTTTTGGTGTAGACCAGCACACTTTGTTCCGCTACATTGATTCAGTCGAAATCGTTTATTCAGTGTAAAATACATTTCTTAGGTTCAATCAATGGTATTTTATGAACGTAAATTTGCCTACTTTAGATAAATGTATTGTATGATCTATTTTCCACTTATTACTCCTTACTTTTCACAGATATACATACAATTACAGTGCATTACAGTACTCTTGGCGACAGATAGGAAGTCATACATGAGCTTTCTTTTAAGCAGCTACAAGACCACATCTGAATCCACTTGTTTTGTCCCTGTTTTCCAAAGTGTTCGCACGTCAATGTGATTTTCATGTTTTTCTCCTCCAGATGAAATATTTAGTTCTGCTTGCCTGCGCGTCAGTCGCTCTGGCTTGCAAATGCAACCAGAAATTGGACGACGAATGGGAAGTATACAAAAAATTCCACAACAAAGTTTACGAGACCCCAACTGAAGACTGTTACAGAAGAAATCTCTGGGAGGACTCGGTGCAATGGGTGGCCAAACATAACAGGGAATACGACATGGGAGTCCACACTTACTGGGTGGGAATCAACCAATTTTCTGACATGGTAAGTTAGACATTTGATTGATGTTGTTGTATGCAAGACCAGCCGTATGAAACTCATGACTTACAATATCGAAATCTCCTTCTCACCTTATTTCTTCAACAGTGGAATTCACTCTCTTTATATGTTTATGAAGTTTACATTCAGATCTGATTTTTTATTATTTATCCTAAAAGACAAGCTATTACTTCCCTAATGGATGGAGCAGTGTATTATGTCCAATGTATATCGAAGTGTCATTGTATCTTCCTTACAGATATGAAAGTGATGACTAATGGGCAACACTACGATTTTTTTCTTCTATCATTCAGACACAACAGGAAAGAGTTAGGAAGATGAACGGCGCAGTTATGCCACAGAACCTGACCTACGATGGTATGGAATGGTTTCAGGAGCCCCTGAACGTTGAACTACCTTCCACAGTGGACTGGAGACAAAAAGGTGCCGTCACCCCGGTCAAGAATCAGGTAATGGAAGGAATATTTTTATATTCCGTATCATATGCTAATATGTGCACGGTCGCTAGATAAATAATTTTAAGTAGTTTTTTTTCTTTTCATAGTTCCATTAAAAGTGGTTATAATATTGCGTAAGATTATTTGAACCCAAACGCATTTCATCAATGGTTTAGTTTCGGCCAAAGGAGTGGATCCACTCCCCGTGGCAGCATCATGATAAATTTCGTCTTCGTGACGCTGCACAAACCAGTGAGAAACTGCATGAAAAGCAAGCGCGCGAGGAAAGAACATTTCTGGACATTTCACGTGTACTTCACACAGGTTTCTGCTGGGAAGGGGGGGGGGGGTTGCTGAAGGACAAGCTTTTTAACTTCCTTCACTTGGCAATTTTAAAACGGCAAAAGATGGCAATTTTGCCATGGGATGGGGAGCACAGGGTTGGAAATTTTGTCGTGAATTTGTCTCGTTTTACTCTTTATTCCTTTTTTTCTGTGGGTCCACCGTTGTTAAAGCTGCTTACCTTTATTATAGGAGTGTACTCTCTCTCTCTCTCTCTCTCTCTCTCTCTCTCTCTCTCTCTATATATATATATATATATACTCTATCGAAACTTATATGTATGTTTCACAATGAATCGTTAACAGCAGACTTTGTTGCTTTTTTATCCCCAGGGTGGGTGTGGGTCGTGCTGGGCTTTCTCCGCCACTGGCACCATGGAGGGACAGTCGTATCTAAGGAAACATAAAAAAGTCTCTATCTCAGAGCAGCAATTGGTGGACTGTGACAAACGTGAGCATTGCTTATATGTATATTCAAAGATGTGGTACATAGGTGTTAAAATGGGGAGTGGGATGAGTACGAAAGTGCCCCTGTTTTATTAAGGATACTTTCCTAGCATTAACCAACACTGTCCTATTGAACTGCAATTACCAAAATTTTCCACGAAAAATTAAACATTTGAAATTGCTTGTATAGTTAGTTACGTGACACGGCATATGTGTAAACATCAAAGCTGCACGCCTTGCAATGGAATGAATTATTGTCATATATTTTTTTTAATTTCATTTCATTCTTATTAAATATTCTCATTTAGTACCCAGTATTAGAGAGTAAAATGCGAAGGTTTAAGAAAACAGATCTGATCGTGAATGGTATAGAATCAAGCCTATATTTTAAGTAAAGACATACACACATACAAGAAATAAACAGACGGACATTTTTGTCGTATTCACGCCCATGTAAAATTACTATGTTTTTGCAGCGGTTTTAGGCCTACTTATTAATTCCATCTTAGTGCAAATGGGATAATTATAATTTCGATGAAACAAAGCAAAATATCAAGGAAATATCGTTAAAAATTATATATTTGAATAAAGCCTTGATGTTGATATTCAAAATCATATATCTTAGTTTGTTTACTTTCTTTAAAATATAATCTGAAATTAACCATAATTTTTCTGCTGGCTTTGTCTAGGTGATGGTGGTTGCAATGGCGGTTGGCCTTACGTTGCTATCCAATATGTGGCTAAAAACGGCGGCATTGACACCGAAACTGCCTACCGCTACACCGGCAGGGTAGGTTGTTCACAAACCCATATTATACATAGTTGTCACCCATTAATTGTCAGTCATACATATTCGGTTGTATTAATCTCTATATTTTGGTGTGCTATTTGATACGAAATAAAGAGATGGTTTTACTCATTTTAGAACTGTTTAATTTTATCCCTAGTTATTTATATTAATGAAGGAAAGAAAGCGCTGTATTGATGAAGGTAATCAATCAATTTTAAATTAAGGCAAAAAATTTAATTAAAATAGGGCTACAGTGGATTAGAACAAGAATCTAATTTTTTTTAGGATAATCAAACTCACAGTTAAACAGATTAACGCCCTCTGTACATTGTCTGTAGGCCGAGAAGTCAAGAAAATGATATATGAGTAAAGATAAAAACAGATTCAACGACATATTGCACTAGCACCTCTGATTTCTATGTAGGACGGCAGTTGCCACTTCAGCAAAAGTGGCGTTGGATACACCACTTCCGGCGTGGTGCACGTTCCCGCGAGCGAGTCCTCCCTCCAGTCTGCCGTAGCCACCGTAGGCCCAATCTCTGTCTGCATTGATGCATCACACCGCTCTTTTGGCTCATACAAGTGAGCAGAGATAACGATATATTACGCATATAATGGTATTTCCAATGGACCAGTATATTGGACCAGTATATGATTATATATTATCGTGAATGCAAATAAATTAGCAACAAAGGAAAGTTTAACATGAATATAAAAAGAATTGCATGGCTCATTATTTTAATTTTCATTATTTTTTAAATTAAGGAAAATTTTGTATATTAAATCTGAGCCAAAAACAATTATTGTTATACGCTTTAAGTTATGTTGGAAACAAAATTTTGAAGTCTGCTTAAAATAGGTTGTCACTAATATATTATCGGAAAAATTCCATCATTTTATTTTCAATTTCAGGGGTGGAGTTTACAATGAACCAGCTTGCACTCACCGCACTGACCATTGCGTGTTGGCCGTTGGCTATGGAACCATGAGTGGACAAGCTTACTGGTTGGTGAAAAACAGGTACGTGTATATTTTGATTATAGATATACAATTCGCGTTACCCTTTAAATTTCTTGGACATTGCAGTATGAATCCCTTCATGGCCGAGGAATACCTTATCCAAAACCACTGAGGTCTACTTTTTCTTTTTCAAGCCCTTAATTGCTTATCTTGTATGTTATGAGTAACATTCACCGGTCTCCATATGTATCAAGAGAGTGATTAAAATTGTAAACCTGAACGGTCTGAATATTTTTTTTTCAGCTGGAGCACCAGATGGGGAGTCCAGGGATACATCTACATGTCCCGAAACAGGGGCAACCAGTGCGCTATTGCATCATATGGAACCTATTCCAAATAAGAAACCCCATATGAAACGCTAGCAGAGACGAACTAAGTATGCTTCCCTTAAATCCTGTGTCAGTGGGATTTTGACGTGGGAGTTTTTGTTGATTTATGAACGAGGAACATCATTCTGCTGAAAATGATACCAGCAAATATAAGTACATACAGGAATGTCTGTGACATTTCGATTATTCACTTTGCCAACGTTTAGTTCGATTTAGAATGGGTTTTTATTTAATAAATCTGTTATACTGGTATAATGGTCTCTTATTTTCCTTTTTAAACGAAACAAACATAAAAAAGGCAAGGTCATTTCTTTCACGATCTTTAATGAAATATAAACAATTAAATAACACACCAAAAGGGAAGAGCCAAATTTGGTCAACACAACAGACAATATATGCTATCAGAAAAACTGCTTAGAATGTACTTGAAAAATCATGGCAAAATTTTTGCAGCAGAACCACATGGGTTTTTATGAATGACAATTGTCTCATAAGATAAAGAATAAAAATCTTGAATAACTTTAAACGCATAATGATTTGGAATGAAGTTCAACATTTTTCCCGATAGGATGATGGCCTCTTATTATCGTGGTTTAATCTAAAATGTGTGTTTATGTTCCATCGGCAACAATACGTATCAAAAGCATGTTGTCATTTCTGCAGGGCCTTGATGTTCTCCCCAATGTTTCTATCTTGAGGTTTTCAAAATGTTGTATTTGATTCACTGTCTTTCACCATCAGTTCTGAACAAGTTCCGTTTTAAACCAAAGGATAGCTGGCTTGGGTAGCAATGCCACATTGGTTGTTCTTATTTCGGCTCATCTCAACGTAGCCATCCATTCCCCACGAAGGTCCCCAACTGAAAAAAAATGAAAAAATGGCTAATACTTCAACTGCCATTTCACTAGAAAAATTATCTATATTATATTGTGTAATTATTAAAATAATTGGAAAATAATAATAATAACTATGAATTTTCAAAATGGCGTGTTCCCTTCTTTGCAGCGCTAAAATATATATCAAAGTGAAGTGTATATTTTAGTGCATCCAGTTTAGTTGTAGTTTCATCCAAAACGTACAGGTATAACTATATTACTACAACATGAGAACGTAAGGCTTGCAAAGGTATTTTAATTAAAGTAAAAAGCAATGCACGATTGGTAAGTTTAACATTTAAATTAAGTAAGATGACAAGCAATGCCCTTCAAACCATTGGAATGACATGATATATATATATATATATATATATATATATATATATATATATATATATATATATGTTAACCAGGTTAACTATATATTACCTGTTCTTAACCAGCCAATATTCCTGTCCATTGTCTGTGCCATAACCAACGACAAGCACGCCATGGTCAAGCTTTTTGCTGCTGCATGCACGTTCGCTGTATACTCCTCTCCTTTATGAAATAATGTAAAGTAGTTTTGACACGGCAACAAACGAGAGAGAAAATACGTGAAGGTCAGAAATGCTCCACATACAAAATATATCTAATAACATGGCTATGCTGTTGCATTTAGAATAAATCTTAATTTAGTAAAAACTAAGATTTCGACTTCCCCTAAGCATAAGTTGCACAAGAACTGAGAACATCAAGCAACCATACGGCCATAAAATACAAACATACTTCATGATTGACCTGACAATAGCGAAAAAGATAAGTGACATATATGTAGAACGTCATGTAGAACATAGTATATTTAAATTTCAACATTTTGGTAGAGAGATGTACAAATTCTATTCTCTCTAAATGCCAGTCTCGGAACAAACCTCTATATATACATACATATGTCATATTCCTATCCAATGGTAAAATAGACATAGAAATAATTAAAACTGATAGCACTAGACAAATGCAAACTTTTCACCTACTTGTAAAGCTGGAAGGATTTGTGGCCGGCATCAATTGCGACAGAGATCGGCCCAACTGTGGCAACAGCGGCTTGGAGGTCGGACTCACTCCCCCTCTTGATGTCGGTGTATCCAGTGCATGTTGCACCAACACTTGCTGTTCTGAAATGGCAAAACAGCCCAGTCTGGAAAGACAAGAAGGCATCTGTATAATCATGGAATACTACCCCTGTATATTTCACACTGTATATGTATATGTGTGTGCACTTATTTCCCATGTGTGTAACNGTTTTTGTTCCGCTTCATTGATTCAGTCGATATCGTTTATTCAGTGTAAAATACATTTCTTAGGTTGAATCAATGGTGTGTTATGAACGTAAATTTGCCTACTTTAGATAATTTTATTGTATGATCTATTTTCCACTTATTACTCCTTACTTATCACAGATATACATACAATTACAGTACATTTCAGTACTCTTGGCGACAGATAGGAAGTCATACATGAGCTTTCATTTAAGCAGCTACAAGACCACATCTGAATCCACTTGTTTTGTCCGTTTTCCAAAGTGTTCGCACGTCAATGTGATTTTCATGTTTTTCTCCTCCAGATGAAATATTTAGTTCTGCTTGCCTGCGCGTCAGTCGCTCTGGCTTGCAAATGCAACCAGAAATTGGACGACGAATGGGAAGTATACAAAAAATTCCACAACAAAGTTTACGAGACCCCAACTGAAGACTGTTACAGAAGAAATCTCTGGGAGGACTCGGTGCAATGGGTGGCCAAACATAACAGGGAATACGACATGGGAGTCCATACTTACTGGGTGGGAATCAACCAATTTTCTGACATGGTAAGTTAGACATTTGATAGATGTTGTTGTATGCAAGACCAGCCGTATGAAACTCATGACTTACAATATCGAAATCTCCTTCTCACCTTATTTCTTCAACAGTGGAATTCACTCTCTTTATATGTTTATGAAGTTTACATTTAGATCTGATTTTTTATTATTTATCCTAAAAGACAAGCTATTACTTCCCTAATGGATGGAGCAGTGTATTATGTCCAATGTATATCGAAGTGTCATTGTATCTTCCTTACAGATATGAAAGTGATGACTAATGGGCAACACTACGATTTTTTTTTCTTCTATCATTCAGACACAACAGGAAAGAGTTAGGAAGATGAACGGCGCAGTTATGCCACAGAACCTGACCTACGATGGTATGGAATGGTTTCAGGAGCCCCTGAATGTTGAACTACCTTCCACAGTGGACTGGAGACAAAAAGGTGCCGTCACCCCGGTCAAGAATCAGGTAATGGCCGGAATATTTTTATATTCCGTATCATATGCTAATATGTGCACGGTCGCTAGATAAATAATTTTAAGTAGTTTTTTTTCTCTTTTTATAGTTCCATTAAAAGTGGTTATAATATTGCGTAAGGTTATTTGAACCCAAACGCATTTCATCAATGGTTTAGTTTCGGCCAAAGGAGTGAATCCACTCCCCGTGGCAGCATCATGATAAAATTCGTCTTCGTGACGTTGCACAAGCCAGTGAGAAACTGCATTAAAAGCAAGCGCGCGAGGAAAGAACATTTCTGGACATTTCACGTGTACTTCACACAGGTTTCTGCTGGGAAGGGGGGGGGGGTGCTGAAGGACAAACTTTTTAACTTCCTTCACTCGGCAAATTTAAAATGGCAAAAGATGGCAATTTTGCCATAGGATGTGGAGCACAGGGATGGGAATTTTGTCTTGAATTTGTCTCGTTTTACTCTTTATTCCTTTTTTTCTGTGGGTCCACCGTTGCTAAAGCTGCTTACCTTTATTATAGGAGTGTACTCTCTCTCTCTCTCTCTCTCTCTCTCTCTCTCTCTCTCTCTCTCTCTATATATATATATATATATATATACTCTATAGAAACTTATATGTATGTTTCACAATGAATCGTTAACAGCAAACTATGTTGCTTTTTTATCCCCAGGGTGGGTGTGGGTCGTGCTGGGCTTTCTCCGCCACTGGCACCATGGAGGGACAGTCGTATCTAAGGAAACATAAAAAAGTATCTATCTCAGAGCAGCAATTGGTGGACTGTGACAAACGTGAGCATTGCTTATATGTATATTCAAAGATGTGGTACATAGGAGTTAAAATGGGGAGTGGGATGAGTACGAAAATACCCCTGTTTTATTAAGGATACTTTCCTAGCATTAACCAACACTGTCCCATTGAACTGCAATTACCAAAATTTTCCACGAAAAATTAAACATTTGAAATTGCTTGTATAGTTGTATAGTTAGTCACGTGACACGACATATGTGTAAACATCAAAGCTGCACGCCTTGCAATGGAATGAATTATTGTCATAATTTTTTTTTATTTCATTTCATTCTTATTAAATATTCTCATTTAGTACCCAGTATTAGAGAGTAAAATGCGAAGGTTTAAGAAAACAGATCTGATCGTGAATGGTATAGAATCAAGCCTATATTTTAAGTAAAGACATACACCGTAAACAGACGGACATTTTTGTTGTATTCACGCCCATGTAAAATCTGAAATTAACCATAATTTTTCTGCTGGCTTTGTCTAGGTGATGGTGGTTGCAATGGCGGTTGGCCTTACGTTGCTATCCAATATGTGGCTAAAAACGGCGGCATTGACACCGAAACTGCCTACCGCTACACCGGCAAGGTAGGTTGTTCACAAACCCATATTATACATAGTTGTCACCCATTAATTGTCAGTCATACATATTCGGTTGTATTAATCTCTATATTTTGGCGTGCTATTTGATACGAAATAAAGAGATGGTTTTACTCATTTTAGAACTGTTTAATTTTATCCCTAGTTATTTATATTAATGAAGGAAAGAAAGCGCTGTATTGATGAAGGTAATCAATCAATCAATTTTAAATTAAGGCATGCGAAAATAGGGCTACAGTGGATTAGAACAAGAATCTAATTTTTTTTAGGATAATCAAACTCACAGTTAAACAGATTAACGCCCTCTGTACATTGTCTGTAGACCGAGAAGTCAAGAAAATGATATATGAGTAAAGATAAAAAACAGATTCAACGACATATTGCACTAGCACCTCTGATTTCTATGTAGGACGGCAGTTGCCACTTCAGCAAAAGTGGCGTTGGATACACCACTTCCGGCGTGGTGCACGTTCCCGCGAGCGAGTCCTCCCTCCAGTCTGCCGTAGCCACCGTAGGCCCAATCTCTGTCTGCATTGATGCATCACACCGCTCTTTTGGCTCATACAAGTGAGCAGAGATAACGATAGATTACGCATAAAATGGTATTTCCAATGGACCAGTATATGATAATATATTATCGTGAATGCAAATAAATTAGCAACAAAGGAAAGTTTAACATGAATATAAAAAGAATTGCATGGCTCATTATTCTAATTTTCATTATTTTTTTAATTAAGGAAAATTTTGTATATTACATCTGAACCCCCCCCCCCCCCCAAATTTTTGTTATACGCTTTAAATTATGTTGGAAACAAAATTTTGAAGTCTGCTTAAAATAGGTTGTCACTAATTTTTTTCAATTTCAGGGGTGGAGTTTACAATGAACCAGCTTGCACTCACCGCACTGACCATTGCGTGTTGGCCGTTGGCTATGGAACCATGAGTGGACAAGCTTACTGGTTGGTGAAAAACAGGTACGTGTATATTTTGATTATAGATATACAATTCGCGCTACATTTACATTTCTTGGACATTGCAGTATGAATCCCTTCATGGCCGAGGAATACCTTATCCAGAACCACTGAGGTCTACTTTTTCTTTTTCAAGCCCTTAATTGCTTATCTTGTATGTTATGAGTAACATTCACCGGTCTCCATCCGTATCAAGAGAGTGATTAAAATTGTAAACCTGAACGGTCTGAATATGTTTTTTTTTTTCAGCTGGAGCACCAGATGGGGAGTCCAGGGATACATCTACATGTCCCGAAACAAGGGCAACCAGTGCGCTATTGCATCATATGGAACCTATTCCAAATAAGAAACCCCATATGAAACGCTAGCAGAGACGAACTAAGTATGCACCCCTTAAATCCTGTGTCAGTGGGATTTTCACGTGGGAGTTTTTGTTGATTTATGAACGAGGAACATCATTCTGCTGAAAATGATACCAGCAAATATAAGGTACATACACGAATGTCTGTGACATTTCGATTATTCACTTTGCCAACGTTTAGTTCGATTTAGAATGGGTTTTTATTTAATAAATCTGTTATACTGGTATAATGGTCTCTTATTTTCATTTTTAAACGAAACAAACATAAAAAACGCAAGGTCATTTCTTTCACGATCTTTAATGAAATATAAACAATTAAATAACACAATAAAAGGGAAAAGACAAATTTGGTCAACACAACAGACAATATATGCTATCAAAAAAAAAAAACTGTTTAAAATGTACTTGAAAAATCATGGCAAAAATTTTGCGGCAGAACCACATGGGTTTTATTCATGACAATTGTCTCATAAGATAAATAATGAAAATCTTGAATTACTTTAAACGCATAATGATTTGGAATGAAGTTCGACATTTTTTTCCCGATAAGATGATGGCCTCCTGTTATCGTGGTTTGATCTTAAATGTGTGTTTATGTTCCATCGACAACAATACGTATCAAAAGCATGTTGTCATTTCTGCATTGCCTTGATGTTCTCCCCAATGTTTCTATCTTGAGGTTTTCAAAATGTTGTATTTGATTCACTGTCTTTCACCATCAGTTCTGAACACGTTCCGTTTTAAACCAAAGGATAGCTGGCTTGGGTAGCAATGCCGCATTGGTTGTTCTTATTTCGGCTCATCTCAACGTAGCCATCCATTCCCCACGAAGGTCCCCAACTGAAAAAAATGAAAAGATGGCTAATTCTTCAACTGCAATTTCACTAGAGAATTTATGCATTTTTATATCGTATAATTATTAAAATAATTGAAAAATAATAATAATAACTATGAATTTTCAAAATGGCGTGTTCCCTTCTTTGCAGCGCTAAAACATAAATCAAAGTGTATATTTCAGTGCATCCAGTTGAAGTTTCATTCAAAGCGTACAGGTATACCTACTACAACATGAGAACGGAAGGCTTGCAAAGGTATTTTAATAAAAGTAAAAAGCAATGCACAATTGGTAAGTTTAACATTTAAATTAAGTAAGGGGACAAGCAATACCCTTCAAACCATTGGAATGACATGGAATGGCATGATAACCAGGTTAACTATATATTACCTGTTCTTAACCAGCCAATATTCCTGTCCATTGTCTGTGCCATAACCAACGACAAGCACGCCATGGTCAAGCTTTTTGCTGCTGCATGCACGTTCGCTGTATACTCCTCTCCTTTATGAAATAATGTAAAGTAGTTTTGACAAGGCAACAAACGAAAGAGAAAAATATGTGAAGGTCAGAAATGCTCTGCATACAAAATATATCTTATAATATGGCTATGCCGTTGCATTTAGAATAAATTTTTTGTATTTAGAATAAAGAATAAATGTTATATTCTTAACCTACGAAACCAATGGTAAAATAGACATAGGGGTGATTTAACTGATAGTAATAGCAATAGACAAATGCAAACTATACACCTATAAATCATATGTAAGTTTAGAATGTCAGATCATAAACTCATGATTGAAAAGGGGAGATACCACAGTGTTCCGAAAAAAGATAGAAAATGTATACTATGTGACCGAAATGATATAGAGGATGAGTTTCATTTTGTCTTTATCTGCCCATATCATAGTGACTTGAGAAGCAAATATATTAAAAAAATATTACTGGCAAAAGTCCTCGGTTTTTAAATAATACTGTTATTTGGAAGTCGCAACCTAACAGAAAATAGAAATCTCGGGAAATTTTTATTAGAGGCCTGCAAGCGCAGGGAAATTACATGTTAAGAACTACATATATATGGAAGATTTTAAATATTATATTTGACGTATTGGTATTGTATTATCTTCATTTCTCATTTATTTATTTTATTGTGATTAACATTATTATGCTGTAAATTGTTGTACCGCACCTATGACAAGAATGTCACGGTAAATAACCTACAACTACTACTACTACTACTACTACTACTACTACTACACCTACTTGTAAAGCTGGAAAGATTTGTGGCCGGCATCAATTGCGACAGAGATCGGCCCAACTGTGGCAACAGCGGCTTGGAGGTCGGACTCACTCCCCCTCTTGATGTCGGTGTATCCTGTGCATGTTGCACCAACACTTGCTGTTCTGAAATGGCAAAACAGCCCAGTCTGGAAATACAAGAAGGCATCTGTATAATCATGGAATACTACCCCTGTATATTTCACACTGTATATGTATATGTGTGTGCACTTATTTCCCATGTGTACATTCTGTATTATGTTTATCTAATCCTTCCTTCTGTCTTTGTGGTTTCACTATGTCTATTTACTTATCAGTGTAATTCTTGTTATTCTGTACAGATTATATTAAACACCTTGTTTGGTCTTTCATTTCACCAGCCTGTCTCTACTTTTCCCGCTTTCCATATCTATTAGTTATTGTATGCTGGCCAATTAACAAAACAGATGTCAATTCCAAATGCTAAAGCATTCACTTCTGAATATAGGTGGCCGATGGAATTGTGCGGGATTATTGGATTGTATCGTCAAATACAATGCTTATGGTTTTGAGTGAATTATAATATATGCATGTATTTGACTAAAGACCTTGTATTCAATAGTACCATCCACTATCGCCACGACACTCACCTTTGCTGTGTACGGGTAGGATGCCTCGGTGTCGATGCCGTTGTTGTCCCTGATATATTTGAAACCATTGTCCATCAGACCTCCCTTGCATCCCATGTTGCCTGTAGTTATAAAGTAATGTTTTTCAATATATATACTTGGACCGTTGGACTTTACATAGCCATTCATTGTCTGCACAAACTCCTCAGTTGACTGATATATATATATCATTCGGTCGTGTCTAGCACAGCTGGAGAGAGGAGACAAAATGTTCAACAGTCATTTTTCCTATTAGCCCTACATGATTTATATTAAGGTGCACATTCTTTTCTTGACCCACCTCAGTTCCGTATGAACTTATACAAAGTTAAAGTATTAAATATTCTATAAAGTTCGCGTAGAAGACAAACGACAAAAGAGTATGGAATCAAAAAATTAGTTTGAGCGCATAAAAATTTGTGTTATATTTTACAAATAGGTCACCAAAAATAATTTATTAAATAGGTCCCCAAGAAAAGTTATATAAATTGCATGGCAGTAAATAATACTGAAATGGTTGGTTTATTAGTACCATATTTCCTGGAGCAATCAACCAAATTTTGCTCCGAGAGAGAAGTCAAGGTGCCAGTTTTCTTGAAATGCTGTCCCTCAAGGGAGCCGGTGGTAGAGAAAGCCCAGCAAGATCCACAATGCCCCTGGTTCTTAACCTCGGTGACGTAGCCCTCCTTTCTCCAGTCTACTTCATCTGGGACCTGTACTTGACTTGGAGCCAGAAACACGCTACCGCTGGTACCGTTGGACATTACATAGCCATTCATTGTCTGCACAAACTCCTCAGTTGACTGAAATATATTTTTTTAAATGAGGAAGTAGTTCATATAGGCTTACAGCATGAATTCCTCAGTTGTCTGAATTCCTCGAAATAAACATAACGCAACTGAACAAGCCATACATTACATAGCCATTCAATGTCTTCACGTTCAGTTGACTGAAATATTTTTATCGAGGAAGTAGTTGATACAGGTTTACAGCATGAATTCGAAATAAAAATCATCATATAACTAAACAAGCCATTCATTGTCTGCGCATACTCCGCAATTAACTGAAAAAAAAATATATATATATATATATATATATATATATATATATATATATATATATATAGGGTTACCACTTAATATGGAATATTATTTTTTGGCGAATAAATTTTCTACAAAATATTTAATTTCTCTCTAACTACTTTAAATCCAAAGCTGAGGTGTCACTCCATGTGTAGCCAGATGTGTTACCTAATTACCACACAACTCTCGAAACAATTGATGCATGCAGTTGCATGTTCTGTGGTCAGAAATGTGAGGGGTGGTCTTTTCGGCAATTTCTGCCCTTGTATAAAAACGCATGGGTTTTGTCAAACTTTGGAGCGTGTTTAGAGTAGCAACAAAGGGATCGCTCTGAAACTTGACAGGTACCTTAGTGAAGATATGGTACGACAACAAGGCAACGCAGCTTACTATAGGATTCTTGCTCTCAGAGAAAATGGCCAGAAACGGACAGCCATTGCCAGGTAATTCAACATTTATCAGGAACCGTTTGTGAAGTCCTCTAAAGAAATGCTGCTACAGGGGCACCTACTCCAATACCTCGACCAGGGTGTCCGCGTATCACACCAAGAAGACAGGATTGCCTTCTCCTTAGTGGACGCCGTGCTGGTCGTACAAAGACAACCAGTGTCCTCAGAAAAGAGAGGCAGAATGTCATTCAATCGCCCGTTTCAAGGTCACACGTGAACAAGAGATTTCTGCAAGCCGGTTATTTTGCACGAAGGCCAGTAGGGAGACCACTGTTAACAGCAGGTCATANTTTAAATATACGTAACGAAACTAAAAACGAAAAACTGAAGATAATCAGAGGCATAATTTAAGCGTTGGAATGATTCCGTTCGGCTTTGTTCTTCTCTCTAATACTAGTATATTGTGCTATCTTCGCGTATAGAAAGTTTGGCAATGTGAAGAGGACAAATAGTTATTAAGTTTTGATAATATCAGCCGAAATTCACGAGCCGGTTTTGTCTTCAAAATATTTGTTGACTTTTTATCTATCATGTCGTTTTTATTTTCATCGTGTCGTGTCTGACATTATACATACATAGTGTATAAGTCTTTGGTGTACTAGGAAATGGGCTAAGAAATGGTTATATTTAAAATGCTATTTATCTTCCATTATCAAGGCATTTTGGCTTATCCTAAAGGGGTTGGTCACGAGTTGAAACTTTATCGCCAGTTTTTCTTAATGATTAACTTAAGATGCCTGTTCGTGCATGTACCTCGTTCTAGGGCAGAAGGACGCGGCTGTTATCAGTATTTAGCATGGCGTTGACAGATAGAGCGGCCAAGTGCCTTCGTTCACAGCTTCTCTTAAATTTGGAAGAGTAAAGGGGGCGTGTCTATTACTTCAGGAAGGAACTACGAACATTTTCTTAATTATTGGCTTCATANAAAATGAGGAAGTAATTGATATAGGTTACAGCATGAATTCGAAGTAAACATAAGGCAACTAAACAAATAAAGGAGGTTGCACAGATGATAACAGCTTGGATATAAAAGAATCATAACGAAACTAAACAAGGAAGGAGGACGTAAATGATACAGAACAAAATTTAAATATACGTAACGAAACTAAAAACGAAAAACTGAAGATAATCAGAGGCATAATTTAAGCGTTGGAATGACTCCGTTCGGCTTTGTTCTTCTCTCTAATATTAGTATATTGTGCTATCTTCGCGTATAGAAAGTTTGGCAATGTGAAGAGGACAAATAGTTATTAAGTTTTGATAATATCAGCCGAAATTCACGAGCCGGTTTTGTCTTCAAAATATTTGTTGACTTTTAATCTATCATGTCGTTTTTATTTTCATCGTGTCGTGTCTGACATTATACATACATAGTGTATAAGTCTTTGGTGTACTAGGAAATGGGCTAAGAAATGGTTATATTTAAAATGCTATTTATCTTCCATTATCAAGGCATTTTGGCTTATCCTAAAGGGGTTGGTCACGAGTTGAAACTTTATCGCCAGTTTTTCTTAATGATTAACTTAAGATGCCTGTTCGTGCATGTACCTCGTTCTAGGGCAGAAGGACGCGGCTGTTATCAGTATTTAGCATGGCGTTGACAGATAGAGCGGCCAAGTGCCTTCGTTCACAGCTTCTCTTAAATTTGGAAGAGTAAAGGGGGCGTGTCTATTACTTCAGGAAGGAACTACAAACATTTTCTTAATTATTGGCTTCATATGTGATGTTGAATAAGGACTGACAGAAAAAATCGAAAACTGGGACATTTTGCCTTCCCCAATGGATATTTAGTAATTGACAAACGCTTCTATCCTGTCTTAGTTTGAGGAGCTGTACTGTACTTACCATGTCAGCATACTCGTTGATTCCCAGGGTGTATGTGTGAAGTCCCATGTCATATTCCCTGTTGTGCTTTGCAATGAGGTCGACATGGTCTTCCCAGATTTGTCTTCTGCAAGTAGAGAGAAATGTATTGATACTTTCATTTGGAAGATGAATGAAGAAAAATATACACAAGAAATAGACTGACCTACTAAAGACAGGAGTAATTACATAGTAGAAACGTTCCTATTTGACAGTGCAACGGTTACATAATAAATAAAGGTGTTTAAACAAACGTCACTTTTTTGGCGGTACAACGGTTGCACAATAATTGTAGAAGCCTAAGATGTTCTTACACGCTATCACTCTTTTTAAAACATAACTCAGGGACGTTTTAGACAAAATAAGGATAGATTCACGACATCTCGCTCCTTGAGCCACTTGTCAATTCCGAGGGAATATATAAGGCAACGTCAGTCTAAAAAAAGATCTTAAGCAATCTACATTATCATGTCAACGGTTGTCTTTTAAGATGTAAAATAGTATTTCACAGCAAATTTTACCTGTGAAGTTCCTCTTCTTGATTGATATAATGTTTCTTGTGGACAGACTTGAACATTTCCCATTCGCTGTCAAGTTCGACATTGTAAACATGGGGACGAGCAAGAGCTACCGCGAACAGAGCGGCTACCACGATGATAAGTTGCATCTGAAAGCAAATATTAGAGTGAAAAATTCGGTAATTGTAGTGAAGACGTTCAGGCTTGACTATAAAGCAAAAGACTGTTGACAGCCAGAGCACCTCCGATTTACTTCACAAAAAGTCGAAAAGGCTATTTTCTTGAAGAGTCAAACAATTATATGACGGTTTTGCTAATCTAAATTTGGTGTACATGTACACTCTTAGGAAATAGAAAACAACCCAGCAATATCTAACACTGCAGCAGTTACCCTCTTACTGTAAGGTAGGGATGTTGCCAGGTGCGTGAAGCAACTAAAATGTGCTTCTTTAATTGTGGGTGTCCTTATTTATATTTCACCTTAGGAGGTCCCATGATGTTCAGGTGACTGAGACGTTTATCTTAAACGTTACACCATATCTATGCAATACAAACAAATCTTATTTGTACAAATTATCTTTCTCTCAAAACCATCTAACGGGGTCAATGTTACGGGTCATACAAATGGTTCTTTTTAGTTTTTTTTTCGCTTGGGAATTTTCTAAAATTTTAGCAACAGCTTCCTCATTCTCATTGAATGATAAAGGTCCGAAAATAGGTATCCTTTTTTATGTTTAAGAGGGGGCAAAATTGTTATCAGCTACTTTAAGAGATAACGACTGTTCATTTTGGCCAAAAAATGAATTACCCTGGGGTAAACAACAATTTCCCCATACTTACCAGTGGTTAATGAATCCATTTCTACATTCAAAGTTAGTTCCTGTTTTTTTTCTAAAAAGTGTGTTTGTTTGTTTTTTTTTCTCTTAAGAGATTATTACAGAGTATAGGCTTCTATGAAATTCACATCGGCCCGATAGCAAGCACAGATTTCAGAATATTTGCTTTAACTGCCGTTTTTGTGGTAAAATAGAATACATTATATTAGAACTATGATTTGCTTACAATGTTTTATTGTGAAATAAAGATTTTCTTCAAAACGTTGTTATCCCTTTAGTTCCACGTGATTTTGAACGTTATATTTCTTTTTTGGTGCCGGAGGTTGAGTGATTAACTATTCATTTGGCACGAGCCAAGTAAGGAAAAAACAGCGATGTTAAAACTGTATGTCTAGCGGGTATCTCAGAGTTTGAAAACTGTGATCGTTGGGTATTAAAAATTTTCGCCCGAAAATCTCGTATGTATACGCTCTCTCTATACGTCCATTTTATCCAAAAGGGATCTCAACATGCAACAGTATATGCTCTCCAATCCTTTGCACATCGACTGACATGAACCACATAATTTTAAAAATGACATCACGAGGAGATAAGTGAATGTCGTTTGAATCATATTTATATTAAAAACGGCGTTGGTTTGGATTTGTCGACTTACAAGTGCGGGGCTACTCTCCGACTCGCTGCTGGATTGCTTTTTTGTGAGATAAAAGGCAGTGTTACGACTTGAATTATTATAAGTTCTAAAAACTTTAAAGGTTTTCGGCATCAACATAAATATAAAAACATTTCATTTTTGTTGACAGCGTTAATAAACAATTAAGAAATGTATATTCCCGTACCATAGCCCTATAGTATTTTCTAGATCCCATTCCCATAGATTTTAGATTGATCTATCCCTGTGGGGAGTCTCACTAGATTATTGTCAGCTTAGCCGGCTTAAGCGTCTATCCCGCCTACTAAAAGCTGTAAGGTGCGCGCTCGGCTGACTGCAATTTAGCGTGAACCCCCAGGGAGTTAGGTCGATCTAAATCTAAATCTCTGGATCGATCTAAATCTCTGCGAATGCACCCCTAGACTCGGATGGTTTATCGATCATTCTCAGCATACTCCTCGCCTGAAGAGAAGTACTCTCAACCTCAGATTATTCATGACTGTCGTGGTATTGACTGTTCACGTCAATCCATTGAATAGCGTATCGTGGGCTTAAACTGGTAATGCAAATTTTCTAGATCCCCAGATAGGCCCTATGTCTTCCATCGAAAATTTGGAATGAATAAAATTTGGAATGATTTCATACTAGCACGGATATTTGTAATCTAATGCTTGTTTAAGAACTGAAAAGACAGGAAAGTGACTTCAAATGGCTACATGAGGATTTTGACCACTTAGGTAAGAAAAACTGAATGTTTACAATCACCGCACAGTTTGATAGCTTAACGTGCCAGCTCCGTCGCCTCTCAGGCGGCAGTTTCACGTAATACATTAGGCCTACTCAATCTGATTACCCCCACACCTTTCCTCTTTTTAGTCGGAAGGCCCTATGTTTGGATTTATTTACATTAATTTATGATCTTTAACACTCCCCCCCCCCAGCATTTTCCTCGGCATATATTTCGATTCTGCTCTCGGAATCCTCGTGCTTTTGTGCATTTCGAATATATTTGCCGTTACTTTTAACAACAGAAGAGAAACTATCATAGAACTTTTATTTTCCTTTTTTATATATCAGAATAACAATAATTCAAGTATCAAAACAGTGAAAGTATCTGTCTGATTTATTTGTGCTATGAAGATGCAAACAGTTCAAGGACTGCACGTAACACGATGCTGAGGCAGCAAATTCTTCGACCGTAGGTACATGTAGGGCCTACCTACCCCGGTACATACATGTAGTAGGCCTACCAATGATTTCTACAAATCCTATACATCAGTGACGAAGCGTGCATCACCATCTCTTTTTCAGAATTTTTTAAATCACAATGTGTTGACTTAACAGACAAGTTTTTCTCCGAATGAATTAACCATCCAAACCCACTACTGCAACGTTCACAATTCAAAAGGTTCCAATATCTAAACCAGCGGATAGGAAGCAGAGGTGGCAATACCGCATTGGTTCTTCTTATTACGGCTCATCATGGCGAACCCCTCCATACCCCAGGACTTGCCCCACCTGAAAAAGTCAAAAGCATCCTGTTGAAAGTGCGAGGGTTGTGTGATTAAAATACTATGTTATGACACACGTAAGACTTACATTAAAATGTAAGAACAATGTTCTGAACATGTATAAAAATTTGTTATTGAAAAAATTAGCTCTGCATGGAAGATGCAAGATATATGCATCATGCAATGAAGTAATTTAATTCAAATACTATAAGAAGCAGTGGCGTTTACATAAGGACATTTTAAATTGGGGCCGTAGCGATAGTCCGAAGGTTCAATAGTCCGAAGGTTCATTGGTCCGAATGTTCACTATAGAACCTTCGGACCAATGAACCCTTGATTAAAAAATCGATGAAAATGTTACCACTTTTCGGACCAATGAACCTTCGGACCAATGAACCTTCGGACTATCGAGACGCCCCCTTTAAATTAGATCTTAAGTTATGATAGCATATGGCTTTATTGATGTGATTTTACCAGTTCTTCACAAGCCAGTAATCATTGGAGCCATCAATTCCGTAACCGATCACCAAAATACCATGGTTAAGGCTACTGCTGCTGCAACGAGGCTCATTGTAGACTCCACTCCTGAAACAAACAAATCCATCAATAAGGTAGAAAAAGCATAACAGGAAGAAAAGTGATTATAGAAATATTTGCGCGCGTTATATTTTAAGAATTCCAAAGATTTTGATCTTAAAAGGGGTCGATGTGTTATCATCAATAGAATAAAATGAAAATACAAAAGGAATCAATTGACGACCCAGAATACTAAAGAAGCATCCAAAAGTCTTAGCACATGTCACCTAATCTGTGCCAAAAATGAAGCACTCCCTCCCCCCCCCCCTTCCCATTACATGAGTTGAACTTTGACTAATAAATGCAACTGGGCCATTGCAATCTTGCTAAATTCAGTTAAACAGATACACATGTTTTTTTAAAATTAGACGATAAAAAAACATAACAAAGGCCATCCTTATCAAGAGATATACAAAACTGACACTTGCACTAACTTGTAAAGCTGGAAAGAAACGTGGTTGGCATCCATAGCGGAAGCGATGGGCCCGATTGTGGCGACAGCAGACTTCAGGTCTGTCTCACTTCCTTTCTTGATGTCGGTGTATCCAGTGCATGTTGCACCGATATTTGCCGTGGTGAATTTGCATTTGGGACCAGTCTGTTAATGAAATCAATTTGTCAGAATCTTTATTGCAAATGTAATCCGCGTTCACCGTACCCACAAGATACTCAGCGCTGTGAATTTAATTTTTGACCCCACTTCCTTTTTATGCTCATTTGCATAACGCCTACTGATAGTAAAGTCCAAACACAATGCACGATTCAATGAAAGGGATTGAAGACAATTATCATTTTTACGTTTTTAGTTATTGAACAGTAAATGTTCTATTTTAATGATTTCTTTTCTTAGAGTTCCCTATCTTCTTTGCTTTACCAAGTGTTCCCTAACTGAGCAGTATAAATACATTTAACAGACAGAAAAGAATCGATATGAGTGGGAAAAACTTTGAAGGTTTTGATAAATTGTAACTTGATGATACGCCATGGAACTTAAAATTTCAAATGAAAAAAAAAGAGTACCTCTGCTGTGTATGGGTAAGACTGCTCGGTATCAATCCCACCGTTTGCCTTGATGTACTTGTAGCTGGTGTCAATGAGACCGCCATGGCAACCCATATTGCCTATGTAGATAAAAAACAGGTAAGTTCGAATCAAATATTCACATCATCGTAAAAAACATTATTCTTTCTGTATGCTTAAAAGTTCCTCATCTTTTAAATCAATGAAGAAACCGTTTAAATATTATTCCCAACAAAAATTAATGCAAACGGGGAAATATTAGAAATCCCCACTTATTTAATACCCCAGTATATACCCACCGTAATTCCTTGAACAATCAATCAATTGCTGCTCGGACAGAGATACCAAGGTTCCAGTTTTCTTGAAATGCTGTCCTTCCAGGGATCCGGTGGCAGAGAACGCCCAGCAAGATCCACACTGCCCCTGGTTCTTTATCTCGGTGACGTAGCCTTCCTTTCTCCAGTCTACTTCATTTGGGATCTGTACGTGACTTGGAGCCAGAAACACGTTACCGCTGGTTCTGTTGGACATAACATAGCGGTTCATTGTCTGCACGAATTCCTCATTTGACTGAAATATATTTTAATGAGAAGTAGTTGATATAAGCTTACAGCACGAATTCAAAATAAACATATAACAGAACTGAAATAGGAAGGAGAGGATAGATGATACAGCTTAGAAATAAACGTAACGAAAATAAAAAAAAAACGAATTTATAAGTGAAGATTATCAGAGCCATGAAGACATTGTAGTGATGCTTCTGTTAGTCTCTTCATTACTAGTATATTGCAATGTGTGAAGTGGACAAGTTTATTAATATTTTTTCACTATATCAGCTGAAACTCATGAATTATTTCATTTACAACCCAACTTATGTCTTGTTTTCAATTTCTTTGTGGACTTAGTATTTATCATTTCGATTATTTCCATCGTGTTTGGCATTACCTATAATCATTTGGTGCACTTTGAAATAACTAAGGATATGGTTAAGAAAATATCAAAAACAGTTTTCCCTTCCATTACCAAGGCTTTTATGGTTTATCCTAAAACATGAAGAGGCTGGTCACGAGTTGAAATTCTATTTTCAGTTTGTCTTTTAAATTATTAACTTAAGGTGGCTCTTCGTACATTAACCTTGTTCAAGGGCAGAAAGGCGCAACTGTTATCAGTATGTAGTATGGGCCTTGACAGGTAAAGCGGACAAGTGCCTCAGTAGATTTTGCGACTGCTCTAAAACGGGGTTAAAAGGGTAAAGGGAGCGTCTCTGTTATTTCAGTTGGTAGCTATGGAATTTCCTTTTATGTATTGCCGTTATTTTTGGTGATATTGACAAAAGTATGGGAGGAAACGGCCTAGCTCTTAAGAAGCCAAGTTATCAGTCACAGTTATCAGTTTTAAAAAAAAGCCGCTCTGTTCTCATACATCAGATATTGAATTCAAAGGCTGGAACAGTTTGGTAATTTGGATATTCAGTTAGGCGTAATAAGCAAACAGAAGCTTTCTATCCGAATGTACTTTGAGGGGCCGTACTGTACTTACCATGTCAGCATACTCGTTGATTCCCAGGGTGTATGTGTGAAGTCCCATGTCATATTCTCTGTTGTGCTTTGCAATGAGTTCAATATGGTCTTCCCAGATTTTTCTTCTGCAATTAGACAGCAATGTGTTGATACTGTCATTTCGAAGAGGAGTGAAGAAAAATATACACAAGATATAGACTGACCTACTAAAGACAGGAGAAATTACATAGTAGAAACCTTCCTTTTTGACAGTGCAACGGTTACACAATAATGTAAGAGTTGTTGAAGATGAGAACATCGAGATTTTTAAAAGATAACCCAGCTACGTTTTAGGTAAAGCTATCTCACTCCTTGAGCAACTTGTTAATTCTCAGAGAATGTATAGGGCAACGGCAGTCTAAAAGATCTATAATAATATATATGTATATGTCTTCGATTGTCTTTTACAATGCGAGGTATTATTTCACACCAAACTTTACCTGTGAAGTTCCTCTTCTTGATTGATATAGTGCTTCTTGTGGACAGACTTGAACATTTCCCATTCGCTGTCAAGTTCGACACTGTAAACATCTTGGCGAGCAAGAGCTACCGCGAACAAAGAGGCTGCCACAATAATAAGTTGCATCTGAAAGCAAATATTAGATCCCAGAAAATCGATGTTATCTCTTAAAGTCCCAAACAATTTAAAGGCGGTTTTGCAATTTGGCATTCATGCACACTATGCTAGGATATAGAAATATCTCAGTAATATCTAACACTGCAACAATTACCTTGTTACTGTGAGGTAGAGATGTTGCCAGGTGCGAAAAAGAACTAAAATATGTTTCTGTAATTCTGGCTGTCCTTATTTATATTTCATCTTAGCAGGTCAAATGATGTTCAGGTGACTGAGACGCTTATCTTAAACGGTCACGTTACCCCTAACTGACGCAGTATGAAGAAATATATTGTTTCAACAAATGTTTTCTTTCTTTCATGACCATTACGAAATGTAACGGAGTAAATGTTTAATGGCCAAGAAAATGTTTTTTTTCCGGGTTTTTTTTCAGTTTAGGAAATTAGTAGCCTAATATTTTAACCGAAACCTAATCATTTAAATTTTAAAGAGACAGCAAAATCGTTATCAATTACTAAATTTCACATGATTTTATATCACAAAGTTAATTTTTTTATCTTCGTTTTGACACGGACTTGTAATGATTCTTCATCACAAGTCCTTGGTTTTAAGAACATGAAGTTAAGAGATTTTTCACTCGGCACAAGCCAATAAGTGTTTGTTTTTTTAACAGTAATTTTAAAACCGTTTATTTCCGAGGTTGAAAAAATCGTTAAGTATTTTGAGGACGCTAAGGGAATTCGTCAACCGTATTTTATTTTTCGAGAAAAAAATCTCGTATATGTTCTCTTTAATCAGGCTATTTTATCCTCTAAATGTCTCAGTTGGCGACAGCGTCTACATTACAATCAATGTTGGGCATCGACTGACATGAACCCCATACAAACCTGGAATTCTTTTTTTTTTTTTTGAAAAGAACATCATAAAGAGATAAATGACCAGTGGCAGATTTAGAGGGGGAGGGTCAGGGGGTCCTGACCCCCCCCTTCGGTTTCTTAAAAAAATCACACCAATATTCCCCTCTTGGAATTAAAATTTTGACTAGCTGATTTTTAATACTAAACCGTTCCAAATGGCACCGTTCGCCATCTAAAATACCAAATATTTTCGGGGCCCTTCGGGGGGGGGGGGGGGGGGGGGTTTTTTTTCTCCTCCCCCCTCCCCCCCCCCCCCCTCCACNGAACCGTTTTCCAGCAAAAGGGGGGTTCTTTCGTTTTCCCGCCCCCCCCCCCCCCCCCCCCCCTTTAAATAATCCTGGACCCGCCCCTGAGTGACTGTGTTTTGTATGATATTTATTTACATTAAAGAAAACGATGTCGGTTTGGATTTGTCGACTTACAAGTGCAGGACTCCTTCCAATGCGATTTTTTTGAAAAAAAAAAGCAATTTTGAGCAGTATTAAGACTTGAATTATTATTAGGTCTAAAAATTTAAAATTCTAGCATCAACAAATAAATAAAAAATATTTCACTTTTGTTTACGAGTGTTAATTAACTATAAATAAGGCACATTCCCCCTATTCAATATTATTCTAGACGTGGATATCGATCATACTCGACATACTCCTCGTCTGCAGAGAAATCCCCTCCGTCAACCTCAGATTTGTCATGACTGTCGACATGTGAAATACATTGAAAAGTGGGCTCAAACTGGTAATGCCAATTTTTTAGATGCGCAGCTATGTTTGCCATCGCGAATTGAGAATGAGTAAAATGCTCTGATGTTTTCCGACCACGTGGTTTTATATTAGCACGGATAGTCTTGAATATAATAGACAGGTAAGAGGCTTTACATCACTACACGAGGCTTTGACCGCTCAAGAAAAGGGGAATGGCCATGAGTCGTTAACGGGGTTTGGAAACTCACCCAAGAGGTACACAATGACAGCTGAGTTGATAGCTCAACGTGCCAGCTCCCTCGCCATTCAGGCGGCATCAATACAACATTTTACTTTGTAATACGTCACTCGACCACGTGACCGTGCAGCAAGTTAACTTCCGGCCCTAGTGAAAGGACGCATTATAAAAGCTCGATATTTGCAAAACCAAATTTCAATTTGTATAGTTTGATAAAGGAAACGTTAGTTGGGCAGGTATTCTGATATGCATCGTTCAAGCCATTCTGTTAAAGTGTCGCAACTCCTTTAAGATTCACCCCCTTTTTTACTCACTTTCACCTTTATCTTTGAATGCATTAAATGCAATCTTCAACTCCCCCCCCCCCCGACCCCCCACACACCTATCATTTTTTTCTCAGCTTATGGTCCTACTTACTCATGCTTTTGTGCATTTCAAATATAGTTTGGTTAAAACAAGAGAAGACAAATTATTAAAACTTTAAATTTTCGTTTATTTATATCACAAAATAATAATAATTCAAGTATCAAAACAGTAATACATTATGTCCAGGCTATCAGATTTATTAAAGATATGAATATACGAAGAGTTCAAGAACTGCAATGAACACAATACTCAGGTAAATGTAGCAAATTCTTCCATTGTGCCACTGTACCAATGATTTCTACATTTACAGATCTTATATATCAATGATGAAATCTGAATCGCCTGATTTCTTTTCCAGAATTGTTCGTATCACAGTTTTGCTGATTTAACAGACAAGTTGTTTTCCGAATCAACTAATCATCCCAATCCACTCTTGCAATATTCACGATTCAAATTATTCCATCAGTCCACAGTTCCATCTACAACATGAGATCTTAAATATATAGAATCGAGACTTCTTTTTAAGAAGAATCCCGAATATCTAAACCAGTGGATAGCAAGCAGAGGTGGCAATACCGCATTGGTTTTCCTTATTACGGCTCATCATGACGTAACCCTCCATACCCCAGGACTTGCCCCAGCTGAAAGAGTCAAAATGATAGTATTGCAAGTGTGAGGGTCTGTTCTATTGAAAACACCATGTTGTAAAAAAGCGTAAGATTTAATTTAAACATTTGAGAAACAACTTTTTGAAAATAAGTTCTGCATTAAAAAGGGCAAGATAGGCATATATGTAAATGACATTATCTTTATCTAAATAAGAAATACTGTATGTAGCATTGGCATTAACATATGAACATTAAAGGATCTACACCAATGATAACATGAATTTACTGATATTCGCCACGAGAGTGAAACTTTATGAATATACCTGTTCTTCACGAGCCAATAATCCTTGGAGCCCTCAGTTCCGTAGCCGACTGCAAGCACACCATGGTCAAGTTTAGTGCTGCTGCAACGACGCTCATTGTAGACTCCACTCCTGAAATAAATAAATAAATAAATAAATAAATAAGGAAAAGCATAACAGGAAGACAGACGACCATAGAAATATTTGATTGATTTTTATTTATTTTAAGGTTTCCAAAGTTGTAGGCTTATAAAGGGGTCAATATGTTATTTTCCGAAAATAAAACTGAAAACAAAAGGAATCGATTGACTGTCAAAAGTACTGAAAAAGCAGATTATTGTTTTGAGTGAACATTTTCATTTCAAACAGTCTTAGCATATTTCAACTAATTTGTGTCAAAAATGAAACAATGACTTTTTCCTATATCAGTGGAACTTTGCCTAACAAATGCAACTGGGCCATTGCAATTTTGCTAAATTCAGTTAAACAGATAAACGTGGACGTTTATATATGTGATACTGACATTATATACACAAAATGGACATTTGCACTGACCTGTAAAGCTGGAAAGAAGTGTGGCTGGCATCAATGGCGACAGAAATCGGTCCGATTGTGGCGACAGCAGACTTCAGGTCGGTCTCACTCCCTTTCTTGATGTCGGTGTATCCAGTGCATGTTGCACCAATATTTGCCGTTGTGAATTTGCATTTTCGGCCAGTCTGTAAATAAAAAATCGTCAGCATCTTTATTGCAAATGTAACCACCTTTAACGTTTACTACTCACTTACAAGATATTGACTACAGTTTCACAACATAACAAAATGAATTCATTTTAGAAATAAAAGGAATCGATACGAAAACGAGAAGAACTTTGAAGATATTGAAATAATGTTACTTGGTGATAAGCCATGGACGTTAAATTTCAAATGAAATAAAAAGCGTACCTTTGCTGTGTATGGGTAAGACTCCTCGGTATCAAGTCCGCCGTTAGCCTTGATGTACTTGAAGCCGTTGTCCATGAGACCGCCCTTGCAACCCATGTTGCCTATGTAGCGAAAAAAAAAATTTGTTAATTTAAATCAAATATTTCAATTAAATAAAAAAGAACAGTTATTCATTCTATTTGCAAAAAAGCTATTCGATTATAATCGAATAAAGAATTCACATAAAGAAACCGTTCAAATAATGCCACTCGTTTGAATGTACGCACCATATCTCCTTGAACAATCAACCAACTGCTGCTCGGACAGAGATACCAAGGTTCCAGTTTTCTTGAAATGCTGTCCCTCCAGGGAGCCGGTGGTAGAGAACGCCCAGCAAGATCCACACTGCCCCTGGTTCTTTACCTCGGTGACGTAGCCTTCCTTTCTCCAGTCTACTTCATCTGGGACCTGTACGTGACTTGGGGCCAGAAACACGTTACCGCTGGTTCTGTTGGGCATTACATAGCCATTCATTGCCTGCACGAATTCTTCGTTGGTCTGAAAATGTATTTAGAACTGTGAATCTATTTTACAGAAAAAAATGGTATTTGTTAGTGCCATTCTCAATATTCTCAATATTAGTTACAATGAAAGCGATTCAATTAAGAAGTGATTGTGACTTTTGAAGTTTAAGTATACGTATTAAAAGTTGTGTTGTCGCCTGGAATGAATACATTATTCAACTTGCAAATAAAGGTTCATTAGGACAAGCACTGTCTGCTAAGTCAAATTTAATTATGACAAGTGCTGATAATAAAATATACTAGATTTTATTTCAAGTTGGATTCAATTGAAAGTTGATATATCCTTGCAGCTTTTCACCAACAGTGGAATCATCATAAGTGGAGTGTATTTATTCAACATTAACAATCGTAAATGATTAACTTTAAAGTACCTTCGGCCTAGAGTATTGAGTAATTTCGCGACGGGCTATCTTTATCTTTTATTTGTTCGTCCTTCTGTTACGACATTAAATTTGTTTGTTTAACCTACTGAGATCCAAGATAGGTATATCTGTTTTTCAATCCGGAAGATGTTGAAAAAGGGAGATAATAATACTAACCATATCAGCAAATTCGTTGACACCGAGAGTGAACGTGTGAATTCCCATGTCATATTCCCTGTTGTGTTTGGCAATGATGTCCAAGTGGCTTTCCCAGATTCTTCTCCTGTAAGCAATAACATTACAGATATGAGATATATATGAAAATGATTCTAGATCAATGTGCACAAGTAGCATATGTGAGCCAAATTTTAAATGAATATACTCCGTCCTGTCAAGTTCGCTGGGTTTATAGGGTCTACGACTCTTCATTTATAAATTTAACTAACAGTTAAATACCTGCAACTATCAGCAGTGGGCCGTGAACACACTGTGGTACTTTGAAATATATTGAATGGTAGGGACCTTATGTTACCGCTGAAAAGAGTTTTTCGCCATAAAATGTTCCTTTTTTATCTAAGAGATGTTGAACTTTGATGAATTGACTCTTTACTTCGTATTTAACTTTCAATCTACATGGTTTATTCACCTGTAAAGTTCCTCTTCTTGTGTGGCATAGTTTTTGCTGTGAACAGACTTGAATGAGTCCCATTCGCCGTCTAGCTCAACATTGTAAATTTGGGGACGAGCAAGAGCTGCCGCGAAACACACTGCCACCAAAATTGTAAAACGCATCTGAAAACAATGAAATTTAAATAAAGAAATAGGCCTATATAGATTCTAGAGTCAACTACAATTCATTACTAACGTAAAAGTAAGTAAATGAGAACAAAAAAGCAGGAAAAAATAACGCAAGACTCGAATTCTCATGTATGATCTTTAACACGAACAATGTAGTCAGAAATTTAAAAGAAAGTAAACTTATGTGGAGGAACTCAGTCTTTACAAGCATAGGCCTACAGATTTCTGCTTACCTTGTTTGTGAGTGAAGAGTTGTATGGTAAACTGTTCAGTGAAACTTGCTGGACCTGGAGTCTTGCTAAAGTAGTGGTTCTACCTTGCGGTTAGCGCACATTTATAGTCCCCTGGCGAACTACAGTGGCTGTCCCGTGACTGTCACCTGCTGCTACCTCATTCACTTAAAGTCAATATCTGATAAGGATTCGCCAAAGAGAGTAAAGTGAGCGCGTGTTGTAATAATCTGTGGTGTTGGTTTCGAGCGCACAATGCTTATAATGCATGCTTAATCTTTGACCGCTGGTCATACAGTGTTTATGCATGGGCCTATGTTATACATATGTAATAAAAATCACAATGCCAATTTAATTGTTGTTCAAAATATCCGTTCTTACCTATTTCAAGTGTCATAAAGAGATATTGTGCAGTATGTGTTGTCCGATAGTAGACTAAGAGCCAGGCAAGTACATTTACGTGTACAAGTCCAGACTGATTAAATTCAAATCAAAATCATTAAAAAAAAAAAAAAAAGAAAAGAAAGGGCGTGGGCCTACAACCCAAATGAGACAAATACATGTAGGCCTACAGTACATGTATGTCGGTGATGTTATGCGAGTTAGGGGTAGGGGGCCAGCTCGGGATTTGGAATTTATGAAAGTGGTCTTAATCTTTTTCTGTCGTTTTTCTGTTGGCTTAACTACAGCGGTGTTGTTTGCAACTTCCTATTCTAGTGCCATTCACATTTTATTCCACCTTGTTCATTTATATCACGATAACTGAGATATGTAGCCCCACGCAAAAACCCGGCAAATATTTTGAAGGCCATCTAAAATTTATTTTCTGTTATACATAATAAAAATAAAACATATATGGACACATGGAAAATCTAAATATATTTCCTGGAATGTAAAAAGCAAAAAGGACACAAAACTATAGGCCTACATTCATATTTCGCGGAAAGGAAAGTCGCGCGATATTTTGCGAGATCTCCATTGTAAACAACAACATTGATGTGCAGTGGGAAGGAATGTGGCGACGGAGAATTTATCGATATTTTTCATTGCCCTTTCCGATATTTAGCATTGCCTGTAAATACCAAGGTGGGGCACAACGCCATGCACCTTTCAACAGTATGTCTCCAGGTTTTGGTTCTGCGATACTGACATTTGCGGTATAATCTTACTGCAGTAACACGGCGGCAAAGTTTGGGGGAAATTAAAATCCACTGCTGCATGCCGCGTCTGTTAAATTTCCCCTTCTTCCATTTTCGGCACTAGTACTGCTCTGAGGAATGAAACATGCCAGGTCATCATACAAGGAACCGCTGTAACTGCAGCTATCATGGGTGCATAGAGAAGCTTTGGGTGTACCTAATGTTTGGTGTGGCTGACATTGTGGTAGGGTTTATGTTGGGAGTGGTGTATTTCAGTGTCAGGGCGCTGACCACATCACTCCAGTATACTGAGACCATTCCAACCTATGCTAATGCCATCATAGTAAGTGGACACTTTATATAATGATGCTGATATTGCTTTAATCAGGTGTTTAGAAAATATTAACATAGTAAGGAAGTTTATTTATTCATTTGGCATGATCTCAGTACCTGTACACAGTACATGTAAGGATGACACTTGCATATAAGATAAGATTGTGAAGAAAATGTACAAGTATATTGCAAGGTCATGCTTTTAAGAATAACTGATGAAAGCATGCACCTCAAAAGTTTATAGATGCATGACAAAGCCATGCACCAATCATTTCCATGCTTGTGTTGTATGACAGCTTATTTAACCTTATCATCAGGTGCACAGCCACCTGTTTAGTGGGAATGCATATATATATATATATATAGATGCTTCCCACATCTGCTGTACATGTGCACTATATGTGTAAAGCATTTGTGAACATGAATGATCATGTAAAAGCATGATAGCAAGTTACATTAGAAATCACAGTATCTGCTCTTGTACCTTCTTTATTGTACCAGATATACATTACTAGTGCTGTTTATTTTATTGTGCTGAATAATAGGGAAGAAGATGATGTATTCATAGCTTCGATACCGAGAGCATTTGATAGTTAAAACTCTAAATTTGGATACAGCATCACATTTCTGATTATAAATAACTGCTGTTATCAAAATGGTGCTCTGCACTGTGGGTGCTTCTAAGTACATGTAGTACAAGTATACTCAAAGATTTCAATAATATCTCTTCATGTCACATGTGTGCTTGAAGTAAATGATTAACAGACCTCGTGTTGAAATTAACAACATATTTCATGTCAAGTAATTGACTTAGTTTTGTTCACTAGCAAACATGGGATGGTTGACAATGCCATCATGTGATAAGAGTTGGTTTTGAAAGGCTTGCACAGTTACTTAGAAATGATGACACACCTTTTAATTCTATATATTCAAGTCACATGGGTGGTGGAGTTTTTCCATATTTTATGCTGCTACATATTATGTTTAACAGCTATTTCATGAATATTTGATATTAAGATTATGTTGGGAGGGGATTCATGGTTGTGACACACAGCGAGACTTATATTTATGTTAAAGTTAAATGATTTGCAAATAATTGCAAAAATGATGGAAATTTCATGCTGGTCAGTACTGTCTTTCTCTGTCTCTCTCTTTTAGTTAAACTGCAAGTGACAGTCGAATATTTAAACTCTATTTGTTTTTAGATGTTCTTCCTATATATCAGCACAATTAAGCTAAGGATCTTCTCATACACTCTTTAAAAACACTACAATGTTTCGAGTCCTAAGAAATATATATCAAATAGATCTAGATTCTTGGTTAGTAATGACACCCCTGTGGTTGTTTATATTTGAATTAGAAAAGGCTTTTTTATTGTGAGGCAGAAATTATTTTGAATATTTTTGTTAATTAATTTTAACTGTAACATTGATGTGGTTTCACTTTCATTTATATTACAGGCATTCTGTGCTGGCACTTTTGTGATTTTACTAAACAAAAGGAGAAATAAAATAGTGGTAAGTACAATTTGTTCTGTATATTGTTAAAATCATATATATTTATATATATATATCAAGGTCAAAATTCTTGCAGCATGACCCTACATGTTAAAATATTACCCAAGTGCAATGACACAAATTGATGAAATTGTGTGGGGAGCTTACCATTATAGTGTAAAAAGAATCTTCATGATATTCGGTTGTAAAATGTACCAGTGTCAGTGCATTATTAATATCTTTCAAGTTATATCCAGTGCATTATATCAGAAAGACATAACACCTTGTGATAAAGAGTCAAAGGTTTCTTATGTAAAGATAACGAGTTGCAATGGTGAACTTGAACTTTGGTGTGGCAAACTGCACAGTCATAGCTGGTGTTTGTTATCTTATGTGGAATGAGTCTTAATAATTTATGTATTATCTGGGGTCCCTTCAAACAGACATGCACACACACACACACACACACACACACACGTATAAATAAACTGGATCCTGGATTGTACCAAAGAGGAGCACAAAAATGATTTTTTTCTGTTTTTCTTATCACATATATTTACAACAGACTATAATATGTTGTGGGGCACAGGCATTGAAAATTTGACTGACTTGTCTCATTTCAATCATTGTGCTGTATTTTCGGAGCTGGAGAANACACACACACATGTATAAATAAACTGGATCCTGGATTGTACCAAAGAGGAGCACAAAAATGATTTTTGTCTGTTTTTCTTATCACGTATATTTACAACAGACTATAATATGTTGTGGGGCACAGGCATTGAAAATTTGACTGACTTGTCTCATTTCAATCATTGTGCTGTATTTTCGGAGCTGGAGAAGGATGCACATCATAATATAAGCTGCCTGATGTGCCCTGCCATTGCATATACATGTTCACACCCAGGAACTTATTTGGCCATCTAGGATGACAGTCTTCCAGAGCCAACACAGTTGGGAAATTTTGAAAACAAATAATAAATGTGTCATTCCTCCAAAAGACCAAGAAGACCATCTAAGTCTGTTCCTAAAATAACTTCAAAGCTCCTCGCCTGCCTGCATGAGCACACACGCAAACACATGGTCACATACACATGCATTTCCCTTATTGTCACAAGCCTGGTTAATTCTGAAGTTACAGATATTATGTATTAATTTTACTCTGGGTATATTGGTATTTATAATATAATTATTTCACAACAAGCATGTTGCCATATTTCTTGGGACCATTCAGTTTTTTTGCATGTTCATCCAAAAATTCTCTTCGTGATTGAGTAGAAGTAAAGATGAATAATTCACTACATTCTTGCGTGCCTTGCAAAAGACTGCCTTTCTGAAGTGGGATTAAATCTACTGTCCAATCAATAATCTTGTCACTCTGAGCATAAAAATTTTAGTCAGGTGTCCTTCATTAGGAAGCCTATAGTTCAAAGAAATCATATTCAGTGAATGTCATAAATCCCTGCAACAGCAGAATTTAAGAAGTACTTGATGCACATTAGGGAAATCTTGATTTAAAATTTCAATCTTCTACTACTCATTATATCAAAAAGGGTATTTTTTTTTTTATTAATTTTCGTCTGAAAAAAAAAACAAAAAACAAACTTGTTTTACCAATCCAATGGTAGTTTTGCAACACAGTGCTTAGGTAGAAACATTTTTCTTCAATTTACATCCAGTGTATACTCCTTAATGCCAACCAAGATCAATAACCTGTTAGTTGTCGCTCCTTTGGGATATTGATAATTGGTCTTACCAGGTGTTACAGCAAAGGAATATATAGGTTGATGGGTGTGGTCATGACCATGTCACCTTGGTGGGGGATGTAAACCTATACTTAAAATGCAGAAATGGTCAAAGTAAAGCTTAATGCATATATTGAGAACACTTCATGTATTATGCACCTTAGCATGAAAAAGTGTTGCCATTTTTAAAACAACAATAAAAAGACCATATGGAATCAATATTCTTCCCACCTAACCATGTTCCCACTCAGAAGTCATTTGAATGTGCTGGTCTGTAATTAGTTAATATATAGAGGTTGCATCATAATTAGTTTTCGTGCTTATGGATATTTTGATAGACTCGTTGATCTATCATATGTACTCAGTAGGTAAAGTTTTCATGTTTGGTACATGCATGGTTTCCACTGACCTCAATAAATATTATTATTTTATATGTATGGTACAAAAATTAAATTAATTGTCTCCTCTCCAGGTATGCACTGTGATCATGTTCTGCAGCACCTGTACAGTGATGCACTCTGTGTCGGGCTTGACCACTGGTTTCAAGACTATTATCTCCTTGACTAGCTTCAGTCGCTGCGTATATAGTGCCAAGCAGACCATGTGTCATTGTTATGTGTGGAGAAAGAATGTTACAGATTATACAGGTAAGTTTTATTAACTTGTACTCCTATAGTATATTATACAGTTTTTCCTGTAACCAGGTAGTTATTTTGTAGCTTTAACTTTTTTATGACTCATGCAAACATGTATATATGGATATAATTTTTTTGACTAACATTCTTTTTTTCTTTCAAAGTGAACTTGGTACTACATGGTGAAGAATATTATATACTTAATGTTTTTACACATAGATGTCTTGACACTTTGCAGAATGATACATATTTCTGAAAGAAGCATTGCTTTCATTATTTATAATTTTCACAAATCATTTATTCAGCTTTTAATGGTAATATTTTAAAAAATAAAAATAAAAAATACAGTTATTAAGGCCGTTAAAAACTGATTGATGGCATCTTTCAAATGTTTGGATCAGGCAATAGAATAAATGTAAAAAAAAATCCCTTTTATCTCTTCAGAGGAATCTGAATACTTTTTCTACAATGCTCCAAACTGTGGTGTTATACAGAACAACTTGGTGGACTTCATGTATGCTCTGTGTGCCCTGTACACTGCAGGTACTCTTCTGGGGATTCTTGGCATACATCTCAGTTTGGTAGTGTTTAGAACAGAGAAGGAGAGACAAAAACATTACGAGGTAAAGGTTTGTTGAGATAGGAGGTTTCATTGTCTTTTGTGTAAATAAAGTTCAAAGAAGTAAATCCTTTCTAGAGAGACTAAACGTGTTTTTACACATGAGACAAAATATCAACTCTTAATCAAAGGGATTGTGACTTCTTACAGGGTAAGCATTGTTGCACATGTGAACCACTTGATAAACACTAGTCATGCTATCTGCTTCCCAAATAGCTTAAGATTACCTAACTGCCTAAAAATGCAGAAAATGTTATAGTTTTTAAGCCAATTTACCCTTGATTAGGTGAAAACTTAGGTATTTTAAAATATGGCTAGTATAAGCCCTGAATTCTCATCAGTATCTGGTATCTTTCGTAGACTGTCACTGGTTGCTAGTTATACTTTGTTAATTAGTAAGGCAAACAGGGAACAATTCCTTTGGAATGACTTTAATTGTGATTGAGAATATATTTTATACAAATGCTTAGAAATACATGCAGTTTATGAAAATAATATGAAGATTTTTTTTTCAAAGAAAACCCCTGTTAAAGTCTATCACAATGTATAATAAATTCCAGATAAAATGTAACGTGACCCCATTTTTTCCTGTTACAGGAAGAATACTACTTTCCAAGTTGTGAAGAACAAAACGAAAATGTCAGGAACTGTTCCCAAGAGAGGTCCATCACAGGAAGTCCGTCCCAAGTATCAAGATGTGGTGCTATGCAGGGTACCAACCCTTCAGCTAGTCCCCCTGTCAGTGGCCCCTTTAGTCGTAGAATCATGCTCCCTGGGGAACCCCAGTTACGCCTGTTGGGAGTACGTCGAAGTGAAAGTCTAGTCCGCACTGGTCGTGAAAACACTGGTCCAACTGATGGAGAAAATGCTCCGAGTGGATTAAGAAATGCCTCTGTTGAAAATGTCCATCAAAATTCTTATAGTAGTCCAGTTACAACAAATTCCAATGTGTATGACTTAGGTTATCCATATTATGGAAATTTTCCCCTTATATGCAGTGGGGGCTATATTTTACCAGCTCAACCATTCCAGCGTTTGCCATCCTGCCATGAACCTTTACCTCCCCATCCATTGCAAAGATCGAGAAATCCGTCCGACACGCTCCTATCTTGTCCCATTCCTAGGTTACCAGCAACTAATGCTTCACGTCTGCCTCCAAGACCACTTAGAAGAGGAGCCAGTGTTGGAGCAGCAGATAATGCCCAACGAGTTTTGCAACGTCATGCAACCTCAAGTCATAACAGATTTGGAAGAAGGTTGAATAGATCAAGTAGTTTTCATAGCACAGTTCCACAGTCACATCTTGGCACATTACCTCTGGCCCAACTGCCACAATCTGACATTGAAGCAGAACCATTTGGGTGGATGCATTTCTTTGCCGGGTTTTCTCATTTTGTTCCTATGCCCCCAGGAACCGTGCCAATCCCCTTTGATCCACCTCCCCCTTATGCTCAGCCACCACCTTATGCAGAAAATGACCCAGTTCAGGAAAATGCATCCCAAAATAGCTCCAATAGGGAAGGAGAGGGTGGAGACAGTGTTATAAGCTCAGCCAATACAGTTGGTAATTCGGTGGTATCAAATAGTGATAACAATGCTAGTGACTTAGGGAGACCAAGCTCTGACACTCAGTCTGTAGATGTAACAGTGACGGTTATTTAGAATTCTAAATTAGAATTTTAACACTGTTTACACTGCCCAAGCAATGTTTTAAGTATGTGCACTCATACTTTTGTTTAATATTTAAATATTTAACTGATACAAGTTTACTTTTGAATGGAATCTCATAAGATTCTGTCAAGACATTGTTTGAATTCAAGGTGTTCTCTTTCCTATTTTCCAAAGTCATGATTGTAAATTTGACTTACTTCTGTATGTGCCAATTTTGCTTTTAAATTTTGTATTTCAGTATTTAACTGATACAAGTTAACTTTTTAATGGAATCTCACAAGAGTCTGTTGAGACATTGTTTGAATTCAAGGTGTTCTCTTTCCTATTCTCCCAAGTCATGGTTGTAAATTCCATTTACTTTTGTATGTGCCAATTTTGCTTTTTAATTTCATATTTCAATATTTAACTGTTACAAGTTTACTTTTTAAGAAGACTGGTAAGACATTGTTTGAATTCAAGATGTTCTCTTTCCGATTCTCACAAGTCATGATTGTAAATTTGACTTACTTCTGTATGTGCCAATTTTGCTTTTTAATTTCATATTTCAATATTTAACTGATACAAGTTAACTTTTTAATGGAATCTCACAAGAGTCTGTTAAGACATTGTTCGAATTCAAGGTGTTCTCTTTCCAATTCGCCCAAGCCATGGTTGCAAATTCGATTTACTTTTCTCTGTGCCAATTTTGTTTTTTTATTTCATATTTCAATATTTAACTGTTACAAGTTTACTTTTTAAGAAGTCTGGTAAGACATTGTTTGAATTCAAGATGTTCTCTTTCCAATTCCCCCCAAGTCATGGTTGCAAATTCGATTTACTTTTCTATGTGCAAATGTTGCTTTTTAATTTCATATTTCAATATTTAACTGTTACAAGTTTACTTTTTAAGAAGTCTGGTAAGACATTGTTTGAATTCAAGATGTTCTCTTTCCAATTCCCCCCAAGTCATGGTTGCAAATTCGATTTACTTCTCTATGTGACAATTTTGCTTTTTAATTTCATATTTCAATATTTAACTGTTACAAGTTTACTTTTTAAGAAGTCTGGTAAGACATTGTTTGAATTCAAGATGTTCTCTTTCCAATTCCCCCCAAGTCATGGTTGCAAATTCGATTTACTTCTCTATGTGACAATTTTGCTTTTTAATTTCATATTTCAATATTTAACTGTTACAATTTAACTTTTAAATGGAATTTCACAAGAGTTGTCAAGACACTGTTTGAATTCAAGATGTTCTCTTTTCAATTTCCCCCAAGTCATGGTTGTAAATTTGATTTACTTCTGAATGTGCCAATTTTACATTTGCATCAAAGTAGATTTTCTTCACTTTTTATGTACTATTAACCCTTGCAATTTAATGAATAAAATGTTGTCTTTGTTATTATTCATTATATTTTTAATCACATTTTCAGTAGTTTTTTTTTTTTTACAGGAAAAAATAATTTTAGGGGTGTGACTGACTATTGCAATGAATGGAGAAGTCATCTGGGGAGGGGCGTGTTTGTTACAGCAAAAATTACAATTTCCAGATGGATGTGGGTCTATTGATAATTTCACCATTTAAATAAAATGCAACGAATTTCATGTCAAGCCCCCCCTCCCCCACCCAAAAAAAAAAGACTTGAAGTAATTTTTCCCATATTACTTTAACATTTTGGAGACATTTTGCATTTTGAAAAATTTTGACAACAGTGCATTGCAACAAGTGTTACACCTATGCAAATGCGAAAATAGAACCAAAAATGTAGGGGACCCAATTTGAGATCAGGTGTGACCTAGGTTCATAAAGTAGGACACAGGTTTTTGTAGTTTATGAGATGTGGTTATGGCGACTCCCATCTGTTGACATGCAGGGTAAAACCATGTACACACTCAGTGCTAACACTGTGGTACAATAAAGCTACCAAAACAAGGTCCAGTGATGAGAAGTACCAGCATTTCCACACGTTTAATTCATTTTCTTGCATAAGAACTTTTTCCATGCACAATTCATCAGTTAACCACCCATCTTTTGACATCTAGCATGGTTACAGTTACCTTCTAAGACATCAGCTGTAGTAACAAATATTTGGGTGCAATGCTAAGGATACTAAATGATCTCTGTGGCTCTTTTATAATTTTGCCAACTACTTATGTCTTATTCCCTAACATCGATTTTTTCCCTCTGACCATGTCAAGGGTGATTTAAGCCTTTTCACATCAATCTTTACAGCTGTAGTGGCATGTTTTATCTGAAACTGACAATCTCTCAGCTGAATAAAATCTTCAGCAATGCTAGCTAAAGCTATCCAGTTAGCTGTGCACAACTGGAAGTACATTTGACCGATCTCAAAACTCTCGTTTTTAAACTAGGAGTCCTCTCCCGCAGCCTCTAAGACAGCCCCACTGTAAGCCAAGTCCCAGTACTGTTCAACTCCAGTCTTTTTGAACTGTTCTCTAGCAAATGACTCTGTTGGACATGCCTTGAATTTGATATCGCCAAATGATCTGTTCATTGCTGTGCCCTGAAACACACACACAAAAAAATGATCCATTTAAAAATCACATAAAATGTACAAACATTACAAAAATTTACATTACATATAATATGCAATTATTAATTTAGAGTTGCAAAGAAGAGAAGAAAACTTTATAGTGATGTCATAGTTACCACTAAGACTGTAAATGACCATGGATAAAAACATGAAAAATATTTACCTCCCAAACTAAAACACACTTGTTCTCCGTCTTCTCATCATTGTCTTTATCATCTGAAACCAAGAAACAAAATTAAGAAATACACAGCATGTTACAAGATACGGCTGCATCCTCATTTCATACTTTGATCAAAACACTTCAATAAAAAATTCTGATTTTGTAAGATTATGAGAATGACCAAAAAATGACCCATGTTCATAATTCTTTTATGATTTCTAATAGATTATATGTGCTATAATTATAGTAAAGACAGAAAAAAGATTGACATATCAATCATATAAGTTCCAGTCTCCTTTAAAAGTTGAATCTCTCTCTCTCTCTCTCTTTCTCCACACACACACACCTACCATCTTTAGATGCCTTATTATCTTCATTCCATTTAATCCTGCGAAGCATTAATCTCTTGAACTTTTTCTGTTGTTTAGGGCCTCCTTCCACAACAACCACATTGCAATCTCTGTACAGGACTACTATACCAGTCATGAAGAGTTGTTTACAGTTGGCTTCTATTTTAAACTTCTTTGCTGGGTTGTTAAGATTGTTAACCCTATAGTAAAGAATCAAGTTCGAAATGGAATANGTATAAATAAACTGGATCCTGGATTGTACCAAAGAGGAGCACAAAAATGATTTTTTTCTGTTTTTCTTATCACATATATTTACAACAGACTATAATATGTTGTGGGGCACAGGCATTGAAAATTTGACTGACTTGTCTCATTTCAATCATTGTGCTGTATTTTCGGAGCTGGAGAAGGATGCACATCATAATAAAAGCTGCCTGATGTGCCCTGCCGTTGCATATACATGTTCACACCCAGGAACTGATCTGGCCATCTAGGATGACAGTCTTCCAGAGCCAACACAGTTGGGAAATTTTGAAAACAAATAATAAATGTGTCATTCCTCCAAAAGACCAAGAAGACCATCTAAGTCTGTTCCTAAAATAACTTCAAAGCTCCTGAGTCCTCGCCTGCCTGCATGAGCACACACGCAAACACATGGTCACATACACATGCATTTCCCTTATTGTCACAAGCCTGGTTAATTCTGAAGTTACAGATATTATGTATTAATTTTACTCTGGGTATGTTGGTATTTATAATATAATTATTTCACAACAAGCATGTTGCCATATTTCTTGGGACCATTCAGTTTTTTGCATGTTCATCCAAAAATTCTCTTCGTGATTGAGTAGAAGTAAAGATGAATAATTCACTACATTCTTGCGTGCCTTGCAAAAGACTGCCTTTCTGAAGTGGGATTAAATCTACTGTCCAATCAATAATCTTGTCACTCTGAGCATAAAAATTTTAGTCAGGTGTCCTTCATTAGGAAGCCTATAGTTCAAAGAAATCATATTCAGTGAATGTCATAAATCCCTGCAACAGCAGAGTTTAAGAAGTACTTGATGCACATTAGGGAAATCTTGATTTAAAATTTCAATCTTCTACTCCTCATTATATCAAAAAGGGTATTTATTTTTTGTTTATCAATTTTCGTCTGAAAAAACAAACAAACAAACAAACAAACTTGTTTTACCAATCCAATGATAGTTTTGCAACACAGTGCTTAGGTAGAAACATTTTTCTTCAATTTACATCCAGTGTATACTCCTTTATGCAAACCAAGATCAATAACCTGTTAGTTGTCGCTCCTTTGGGATATTGATAATTGGTCTTACCAGGTGTTACAGCAAAGGAATATATAGGTTGATGGGTGTGGTGGTGACCATGTCACCTTGGTGGGGGATGTAAACCTATACTTAAAATGCAGAAATGGTCAAAGTAAAGCTTAATGCATATATTGAGAACACTTCATGTATTATGCACCTTAGCATGAAAAAGAGTTGCCATTTTTAAAACAACAATAAAAAGACCATATGGAATCAATATTCTTCCCACCTAACCATGTTCCCACTCAGAAGTCATTTGAATGTGCTGGTCTGTAATTAGTTAATATATAGAGGTCGCATCATAATTAGTTTCCGTGCTTATGGATATTTTGATAGACTCTTTGATCTATCATATGTACTCAGTAGGTAAAGTTTTCATGTTTATGCACATGTATTGGTACATGCATGGTTTCCACTGACCTCAATAAATATTATTATTTTATATGTATGGTACAAAAATTAAATTAATTGTCTCCTCTCCAGGTATGCACTGTGATCATGTTCTGCAGCGCCTGTACAGTGATGCACTCTGTGTCGGGCTTGACCACTGGCTTCAAGACTATCATTTCCTTGACCAGCTTCAGTCGCTGCGTGTATAGTGCCCAGCAGACCATGTGTCATTGCCATGTATGGAAAAAGAATGTTACAGATTATATAGGCGAGTTTTATAAATATATACTCCTATATAGTATATTTTACAGTTTTTCCTGTAACCAGGTAGTTATCTTGTAGCTTTAACTTTTTTATGACTCATGCAAACATGTATATATGGATATAATTTTTTTGACTAACATTCTTTTTTTCCTTCAAAGTGAACTTGGTACTACATGGTGAAGAATATTATAAACTTAATGATTTTACACATAGATGTCTTGACACTTTGCAGAATGATACATATTTCTGAAAGAAGTATTGCTTTCATTATTTATCATTTTCACAAATCATTTATTCAGCTTTTAATGGTAATATTTAAAAAAATAAAAATAAAAAATACAGTTGTTAAGGCCGTTAAAAACTGATTCATGGCATCTTTCAAATGTTTGGATCAGGCAATAGAATGAATGTAAAAAAAATCCCTTTTATCTCTTCAGAGGAATCTGAATACTTTTTCTACAATGCTCCAAACTGTGGTGTTATACAACATAACTTGGTGGACTTCATGTATGCTCTGTGTGCCCTGTACACTGCAGGTACTCTTCTGGGGATTCTTGGCATACATCTCAGTTTGGTAGTGTTTAGAACAGAGAAGGAGAGACAAAAACATTACGAGGTAAAGGTTTGGTGAGATAGGAGGTTTCATTGTCTTTTGTGTAAATATAGTTCAAAGAAGTAAATCCTTTCTAGAGAGACTAAACATGTTTTTACACGTGAGACCAAATATCAACTCTTAATCAAAGGTATTGTGACTTCTTACAGGGTAAGGATTGTTGCACATGTGAACCACTTGATAAACAGCTTAAGATTACCTAACTGCCTAAAAATGCAGAAAATGTAATAGTTTGTAAGCCAATTTACCCTTGATTTGGTGAAAACTTACTTATTTGAAAATTGTGCTAGTATAAGCCCTGAATTCTCATCAGTATCTGGTATCTTTCGTAGACTGTCACCTGTTGCTAGTTATACTTTGTTAATCAGTAAGGCAAACAGGGAACAATTCCTTTGGAATGACTTTAATTGTGATTGAGAATATATTTTATACAAATGCTTAGAAATACATGCAGTTTATGAAAATAATATGAAGATTTTTTTTTTCAAAGAAAACCCCTATTGAAGTCTATCACAATGAATAATAAATTCCAGATAAAATGTAATGTGACCCCATTTTTTCCTGTTACAGGAAGAATACTACTTTCCAAGTTGTGAAGAACAAAACGAAAATGTCAGGAACTGTTCCCAAGAGAGGTCCATTACAGGAAGTCCGTCCCAAGTATCAAGATGTGGTGCTATGCAGGGTACCAACCCTTCAGCTAGTCCCCCTGTCAGTGGCCCCTTTAGTCGTAGAATCATGCTCCCTGGGGAACCCCAGTTACGCCTGTTGGGAGTACGTCGAAGTGAAAGTCTAGTCCGCACTGGTCGTGAAAACACTGGTCCAACTGATGGAGAAAATGTTCAGAGTGGATTAAGAAATGCCTCTGTTGAAAATGCCCATCAAAATTCTTTTGGTAGTCCAGTTACAACAAATTCCAATGTGTATGACTTAGGTTATCCATATTATGGAAATTTTCCCCTTATATGCAGTGGGGGCTATATTTTACCAGCTCAACCATTCCAGCGTTTGCCATCCTGCCATGAACCTTTACCTCCCCATCCATTGCAAAGATCGAGAAATCCGTCCGACACGCTCCCATCTTGTCCCATTCCTAGGTTACCAGCAACTAATGCCTCACGTTTGCCTCCAAGACCACTTAGAAGAGGAGCCAGTGTTGGAGCAGCAGATAATGCCCAACGAGCATTGCAACGTCATTCAACCTCAAGTCATAACAGATTTGGAAGAAGGTTGCATAGATCAAGTAGTTTTCATAGCACAGTTCCACAGTCACATCTCGGCACATTGCCTCTGGCACAACTGCCACAATCAGACATTGAAGCAGAACCATTTGGGTGGATGCATTTCTTTGCCGGGTTTTCCCATTTTGTTCCTATGCCCCCAGGAACCGTGCCAATCCCCTTCGATCCACCTCCCCCTTATGCTCATCCGCCACCTTATGCTGAAAATGACCCAGCTGAGGAAAATGAATCCCAAAATGGCTCGAATAGGGAAGGAGAGGGTGGAGACAGTGTTATAAGCTCAGCCAATACAGTTGGTAATTCAGTGGTATCAAATAGTGATAACAATGCTAGTGACTTAAGGAGACCAAGCTCTGACACTCAGTCTGTAGATGTAACAGTGACTGTTATTTAGAATTTTAAATCAGAATTTTTAACACTGTTTACACTGCCCAAGCAATGTTTTAAGTATGTGCACTCATACTTTTGTTTAATATTTAAATATTTAACTGATACAAGTTTACTTTTTAATGGAATCTCACAAGATTCTGTCAAGACATTGTTTGAATTCAAGGTGTTCTTTTTGCTTTTCCCCCAATTCATGGTTGTAAATTTGATTTACATCTGTATATGCCAGTTTTGCTTTTTAATTTTATATTTCAATATTTAACTGATACAAGTTTACTTTTTAATGGAATCTCACAAGTCTGTTGAGACATTGTTTGAATTCAAGGTGTTCTCTTTCCTATTCCCCCTATGTCATGATTGTAAATTTGACTTACTTCTGCATGTGCCAATTTTGCTTTTAAATTTTGTATTTCATTATTTAACTGCTGCAAGTTTACTTTTTCATGGAATCTCTCAAAAATCTGTTGAGACATTGTTTGAATTCAAAGCGTTATCTTTCCTATTCTCCCAAGTCATGGTTGTAAATTCGATTTACTTCTCTATGTGCCAATTTTGCTTTTTAATTTCATATTTCAATATTTGGCTGTTACAAGTTTACTTTTTAAAAAGAGTCTGTTATAAGACACTGTTTGAATTCAAGATGTTCTCTTTCCAGTTCCCCCAAGTCATGGTTGTAAATTTGATTTACTTCTGTATGTGACAATTTTGCTTTTGCATCAAAGTAGATTTTTCTTCACTTTTTATATACTATTAACCCTTGCAATTTAATGAATAAAATGTTGTCTTTGTTATTATTCAGCATATTTTTAAGTCACATTTTCACTTTTTTTTTCAATTTACAGGAAAAAATAATTTTGGGTGTGTGACTGACTATTGCATTGAATGGAGAAGTCATCTGGGGAGGGGCGTGTTTGTTACAGCAAAAATTAATTTCTAGATGGATCTGGGTTGATTGATAATTTCACCATTTAATAAAATGCAATTAATTTCGTGTCAAGCACCCCCTGCCCCCCCC